TGTCAAAATTCACATGAATGAAACATCTACTTCCCCGGTGCATGTCAAGATTCACATAAATGAAACATCTACCCCCATACTACATCTCAATTTTCCAATAAATGAAACATCTACTTTCCTACTACATGTCAAGATTCACCTAAATAAAACATCTACCTCCCTAGCACATGTCAAGATTAACGTTAATGAAACATCTACATCCCTACTACATGTCAAGATTCCCATAAATGAGACATCTACCTCCCTAGTGCATGTCAAGATTAACGTTAATGAATCATCTACGTCCCTACTACATGTCAAAATTCACATGAATGAAACATCTACTTCCCCGGTGCATGTCAAGATTCACATAAATGAAACATCTACCTCCAAACTACACATCAAGATTCACATAAATGAAACATCTACGTCCGTACTACATGTCAAGATTCACATAAATGAAACATCTACCTCCCTACTACATCTCAAGTTTCCCATAAATGAAACATGTACTTTCCTACTACATGTCAAGATTAACGTTAATGAAACATCTACGTCCCTACTACATGTAAAGATTCACATAAATGAAACATCTACTTCCCCATTCCATGTCAAGATTCACATAAATATAACATATACCTCCCCACTACATGTCAAGATTCACATAAATGAAACATCTTATGTCCCTACTACATGTCAAGATACACATAAATGAAACATCTACCTCCCAACTACATATCAAGATTCACATAAATGAAACATCTACATCCCTAGTACATGTCAAGATTCACATAAATGAAACAACTACCTCCCCACTACATGTCAAGATTAACGTTAATGAATCATCTACGTCCCTACTACATGTCAAAATTCACATGAATGAAACATCTACTTCCCCGGTACATGTCAAGATTCACATAAATGAAACATCTACCTCCATACTACATCTCAATTTTCCCATAAATGAAACATCTACTTTCCTACTACATGTCAAGATTCACATAAATGAAACATCTACCTCCCCAGTACATGTCAAGATTAACGTTAATGAAATATCTACATCCCTACCACATGTCAAGATTCCCATAAATGAAACATCTTATGTCCCTACTACATGTCCAGATACACATAAATGAAACATCTACATCCCTACTACATGTCAAGATTCACATAAATGAAACATCTTATGTCCCTACTACATGTCCAGATACACATAAATGAAACATCTACATCCCTACTACATGTCAAGATTCACATAAATGAAACACCTACGTCCCTACTACATGTCAAGATTCCCATAAATGAAACATCTACTTTCATAGTACATATAAGGTTTCACATAAATGAAACATCGACCTCCCTACTACATGTCAAGATACACATAAATGAAACATCTACATCCCTACTACATGTCAAGATTCACATAAATGAAACATCTTATGTCCCTACTACATGTCCAGATACACATAAATGAAACATCTACATCCCTACTACATGTCAAGATTCACATAAATGAAACATCTACATCCCTACTACATCTCAAGTTTCCCATCAATGAACCTTCTACTTTCCTACTACATGTCAAGATTAACGTTAATGAAACATCTACTTCCCTACTACATGTAAAGATTCACATAAATGAAACATCAACTTCCCCATTGCATGTCAAGATTCACATAAATATAACATCTACCTCCCCACTACATGTCAAGATTCCCATAAATGAAACATCTTATGTCCCTACTACATGTCAAGATACACATAAATGAAACATCTACATCCCTACTACATATCAAGATTCACATAAATGAAAAATCTACCTCCCTACTACATATCAGGTTTCACATAAAGAAACATGTACATCCGTACTACATGTTAAGATTCACATAAATGAAACACCTACCTCCCTACTACATATCAAGATTCACATAAATGAAAAATCTACCTCCCTACTACATATCGGGTTTCACATGAAACATCTACATCCCTACTACATATCAAGATTCACATAAATGAAAAATCTACCTCCCTACTACATATCAAGATTCACATAAATGAAAAATCTACCTCCCTACTACATATCAGGTTTCACATAAAGAAACATCTACATCCCTACTACATCTCAAGTTTCCCATCAATGAACCTTCTACTTTCCTACTACATGTCAAGATTAACGTTAATGAAACATCTACTTCCCTACTACATGTAAAGATTCACATAAATGAAACATCAACTTCCCCATTGCATGTCAAGATTCACATAAATATAACATCTACCTCCCCACTACATGTCAAGATTCCCATAAATGAAACATCTTATGTCCCTACTACATGTCAAGATACACATAAATGAAACATCTACATCCCTACTACATATCAAGATTCACATAAATGAAAAATCTACCTCCCTACTACATATCAGGTTTCACATAAAGAAACATCTACATCCGTACTACATGTCAAGATTCACATAAATGAAACACCTACCTCCCTACTACATGTCAAGATTCCCATAAATGAAACATCTACATCTCAAGTACATATCAGGTTTCACATAAATGAAACATCTACATCCCTACTACATGTCAAGATTCACATAAATGAAACATCTACATCCCTACTACATGTCAAGATTCACATAAATGAAACATCTACGCCCCTACTACATGTGAAGATTCACATAAAAGAAACATCTACATCCCTACTACAAGTCAAGATTCACATAAATGAAACATCTACGTCCCTACTACATGTCAAGATTCACATAAATGGAACATCTACCTCCCTACCACATGTCAAGATTCACATAAATGAAACATCTACATCCCTACTACATGTCAAGATTCACATAAATGAAACATCTACGCCCCTACTACATGTGAAGATTCACATAAAAGAAACATCTACATCCCTACTACAAGTCAAGATTCACATAAATGAAACATCTACGTCCCTACTACATGTCAAGATTCACATAAATGAAACATCTACATCCCTACTACATACAAGATTCACATAAATGAAACATCTACATAAATGAAACATCTACCTCCCTACTACATATCAGGTTTCACATAAAGAAACATCTACATCCGTACTACATGTCAAGATTCACATAAATGAAACATCTACCTCCCTACTACATGTCAAGATTCCCATAAATGAAACATCTACATCTCAAGTACATATCAGGTTTCACATAAATGAAACATCTACATCCCTACTACATGTCAAGATTCCGATAAATGAAACATCTACGTCCCTACTACATATCAGGTTTCACATAAATGAAACATCTACATCCCTACTACATGTGAAGATTCACATAAATGAAACATCTACATCCCTACTACATGTCAAGATTCACATAAATGGAACATCTACATCCCTACTACATGTCAAGATTCCGATAAATGAAACATCTACATCCCTACTACATGTCAAGATTCCGATAAATGGAACATCTACATCCCTACTACATGTCAAGATTCACATAAATGAAACATCTACATCCCTACTACATGTCAAGATTCCGATAAATGAAACATCTACCTCCCTAGTACATATCAGGTTTCACATAAATGAAACATCAACCTCCCTACTACATGTCAAGATACACATAAATGAAACATCTACATCCCTACTACATGTCAAGATACACATGAATGAAACATCTACATCTCTACTACATGTCAAGATTCACATAAATGAAACATCTACATCCCTACTACATGTCAAGATTCACATAAATGAAACATCGACCTCCCTACTACATGTCAAGATACACATAAATGAAACATCTACATCCCTACTACATGTCAAGATTCACATAAATGAAACATCTACATCCCTACTGCAAGTCAAGATTCACATAAATGAAACATCTACATCCCTACTACATGTCAAGATTCACATAAATGAAACATCGACCTCCCTACTACATGTCAAGATACACATAAATGAAACATCTACATCCCTACTACATGTCAAGATTCACATAAAAGAAACATCTACATCCCTACTACAAGTCAAGATTCACATAAATGAAACATCTACGTCCCTACTACATGTCAAGATTCACATAAATGAAACATCTACCTCCCTACTACATGTCAAGATTCACGTTAATGAAACATCTAAGTCCCCAGTTCATGTCAAGATTTACCAACATCTCCCGCCCGTTGAGATCGGCAGTGTATACAACCGTCCCACCGTCCTTGACGGTCTATTTGTGTGAAGGAAGGTCTCTTAAATAAGTAAGGCCATCCTTTGGTCGGGGGAAATATTTGAAAAATATAAACTTAACATGGTTTAAACTTTGTTGGTGTTTTTATTGTTTTATTTTTTTTGGACTGGTCACTTTTTTGTCCTTGGAAAGGCCACATTTCAAAGCTATTTTATACACTGTGATAGGTCAAGCTGAATATTATATTTTGGGAGAGAAAAGTGCAAAATCCCTTCCGTTACAAGACATTGTTTCATGACCAGTGGAATCGGAACTTGTTATTCTGGTGGGTTTTTAATATATATTGATACTGACAGAAGATGTACACATTGTAAGTACCTGTTTTTCATTTCTTTTAAAAAGAGGTAAATGCGATATATAAACCTCAACTCACTCACTCCAGACGGTCACCTATTCAAAGTGTATTTCTAGTATTCGTTCTTTGTGTAAATTTGATTAAATAACTGCATTTAAAAGGTGAGATAAAACCTGACCACAGACACAAGGCAGACTCCAGTGGTGATTCCATTGTATGTGTAACTGCTCAATCCTTTAACTAAACTTTGATAATATTTTTATACTTTTATGTTCAAAACTATCCAGTCGTTCACTTTTTGGCATTACGCATTTTAATTGTCTTTCTATGCTTTATTAGAAAAAATAATGTAATGTTCAAAGTGAAAAAATTCATTTGAACCTGGATGCTTTGTTCTCATGTAGTAGCCAATCTTCAGCTTTCCAGTAGAGTAGTTTCCCCACACTCTGTAATGCAAGCACCAGGGGGCGTTGAAACATAAGCAACTTCCGGCAAGTGTGAGTCTGCGAGAGATGCGAAAAGCGTCTGCTTTTATGACAGGTGAAGGCTGATAAGTGTTCATTTCATATCACTGATTCTGGATAATTGGAGCTACTTAATCTAGGTAAGTTTTTGGACATCGTATTATGTACATATCCATTGTTACTGTGATAGTATGAAAACATCAATCTTAGCACTGATATGTGAAACTAAACCTAAATTAATGTTTCAATGAACTTGTCAAGAACTGTTCGACTGGTTAAGATAAAATAAATATTTTATGCGTTTATATATTACGCACAGAATATAAATATCCCCACTTTGAAATACTTATAGATGATAAATACGGTAAAATATGGCTCTAAACTTTGTTATCTTTGACGTGTATGCTCTCAGTCTCATCAATAGCTAACAAGGGGGAACTAGAATTGCATAGCACATGCTTAAAGTTCCCTATGGTCTGCTCCCTTATTGAATATTGGGTACTTACGAATCCTAACGTGTTGTTGATATTGACAGGTATTTTTGTTCTATAGGTATTTTTGTTCTATAGGTATTTTAACATCTTGGGAGTATTCCACTGTGTTGTTTACCATACCACAGTCAGGTCAGGTCATTGCTAAATAATCAATTACATATGTTGCATCTCGTTGCATCATTAATCAGTTTCTGATTACATCCAATCTAATTAAACCACCCACTCTACTTTTTGTAGACATAACTTATCTAGATTCACTATCAGTGTTTGTAAATTAAGTAGAAAATTCATGGGAACCTTGCCTTATCCTTTATGTTTTAAATTAAAAGACTCAAATCAAAGGGACTCCAGATGAAACCCCATTTATTTCAAAGACTACCCTTTAATTTATGAATGACCAATCCATATATTTGCAATTGACTTGCATGGGTTGTAGCGTACAGCACTACAGTATAGTCATTTGCATATTGGGGGGCTGTGGGGGTAGCCCAGTGGTTAAAGCGTTGGCTTAATATTCCCCACATGGGCACAATTTTAAGCCCATAATCAATCAATATTGCTAAAAGCGTACCATAGTATAATGCATTTATCTGGAATAATATTTTCTGCATACTAGAAATATTTTTGTAAATAGTCTAAGGTTTGGAAACAGCTTAAATCCTATTACCCTACCAAGTTATTGATTCAGTTTGATTAGTACTAGTTGTTTAGTATTAGTACTAGTTGGAACATTTGTTCAAAAGATATGAGGCACTGTTGAACTGTTGTATTAAATTGTTTTTAACCCAGACCTACACAAAACATTATATTTTCAGTAGATCATGTTGATTCTGTTGCACATATATTGACATTTTTAAAACTATTGACTATTTTTTAATGCCATTGAAACTAGTTTAGTTCCAGAAGCAAACACAGCACAGCTGGGGTATTGCAGCACTGTCATAAAACAAAAATTACATTTAAATTATCTGAAGTTGTAATGACAAGGGATACTTTGGTTATGTCGAAAACATGCTGCAGCAGATTTCTGCTACTGACATAATAGGGTTTTTTATTTTGCCCACACAACATTTCATATATTTTCTAGATATATTTTATCAAATATGTTAGTTGAACTTGAAATTATGAAAAAAAAACCAGATAAGTTTTAATTGATTTGAGAAGTGCTACTTGAAACATACATGGTGGGAGAGGTTAACTTCTAGCAGTCTGTATGACTTATGTATGATACTGTACAAAGTGAAGTATTCATGTGCATTATTCATGAATGTTGCATGTGATATGTCAGAAGGTAATAATGATAACTGCATAGTGAAACAATAGCTAGATATATGTGCATCAGATGCATTGTGTTTCCAAGGGAAAGAATATTCCCTTTGTCAAGAAAGAGAACATGATTGGTAATATCCATGATCAAACTCATTTAAGTTCACTTCTAATTAATACATATTTTCATATTGACTCAAATCAATTAACTGTAATTTGTAAATATGTATATGTGTTTTATGTACATCAGTATGTGAATGATGAATGCCATAGTCTGTAGTTTAGACAATAGATAATGTTGCTGTATTATTAATTCCTTTGTTATCTAAGAATTGTGTTTGTGTTATTACAAGAATAGTTCATTCACAAAAGTCAGTTGCATGTGAACAGTGTACTGCAATAAAATGTTGTTTCAGTGTTTATAATGTTATCAATATCTTTCACGTATGATAATCTACTGTTGAAACTGAATATCCTTCTCTTGTTACAGGTATGCTTCAGAAATATATCCTTATAACAATAGGTAGCAGCACTGTCACTTGAGAGGAGCCACTTTCACTTGTATATTTCACCGAAGATAATCACTGAAAGCTTTGGCACCGAGTAGCTAGTTGAAAGATCAACCGGTGCGTGATCAGATGGAAAAGGTATTCTTATAATGCCAAATTTCTGACAAGTGTTGTCAGCTTGAGTCAGTCGTTGTGTTTTTGGTGTTAAGCAGATTGCAGGATGTTCGATGATGTTAATTGCATGGTATCTCGACAACTATTTCTTTGATCACAACTTGGCCTACTCCATTATCCACCAAACCAGGAAAGGGAGGATCGTAGAACCATTATATAATTGGCAACTTCAAATATATAAACACAGCAATAATTCTTCTATAACAAACTCCAGATGTCTTTCATCCTCATCGCTTCCATCACACATGCACAGACATTTACTCAACATATCAAGGAGTCACTCATTTTAAGTGATTTATAACATTTTTAATTCCATGCTTATCAAAAAATAAACCCTATTACTGGAAAATTGATTTTGCTATAATGGCCCTTATTCTATTCCTGCACTGGGAATGAGATTTATTTGTCCGTTTATTGTCTCTTGATGAATTCTCTTTGTCATGGTACATAGTTTGTTGTTTCATCTGAAACCCACTCAACAAGAAGCTAACATGTTCATGGAAACAACATGTACTCTTGTGTACATACTGATAGAAATGCATGTTGACTCTAAATACTTCTAAAAGTGTCGAATTTTTAATATTGTCTTTTTTTACTGCCTTTTATGACTTTTATGGGGTAAGATTTCTCAGTATTGTAGATCAGTATTGAATATTCATTATGAAAGTTAACCTTGTTGACCAAACGTAATGTAAAGAATTAGTGATTTTAGGTGTCCATAGATAACAGCAAACAAGACCCTGTGTGCCATTCCTAACTTCTGAAACTGGACCATGGCTTTGTACTCGATACAATAGATACCCGAAGGTTGCCAATACTGACAGTATTTAGGAGTTGTGCATTACTTCGAATAAAACACCATGCTTAAAGTTGACATTGCCAAATGACAAATGGTTTATCTGTAGGCGAGATGGATCTGTGGATGTTTTTAATTAACCTTTTGTCTTTCTTGAACAGTAGCCATGTGATCAAAGAAGTAAAGGAGCATGACTACCATTTTGTTTGTAAGCTTTGTTGATTTCATCTTTCAATATTCATTCATGACTAATGTGTTAACATTCATATAGAACTCAATCCTAAATTGAACTCGCTTGTTACATACTTGAATCCATTTCAATAGGATGAAAAGTGTGATTTGTTGTGCATCAGTTATGTCGATAATTTGCTAAATGTACGTAATTTGATGGTGTTGGTTATTATCAAGCTCTTTGACAGTGCCTAAAACAATTCCAGCGTCATGATTTTACTTACAACTACTGGTGTAACATTCCGCTTCAGTGTATATTGTGATGCACAAGCCTTAAAAATAATAGCTTCATCTTTGTGAAGCTGTCTGCAAACACAACTGTTCTTTAATGGTTGACATTTTATCCTCACAACTTGCTCTATTTGTAGTTTGAAAAAAGATCAAACGACATTCAGAGAATTACTTGACGAGAATGTTTAAGTAATAAGGATGTCAAACCAAGCAGTTTGCCTCTAGCATTTTAGGCAGCAGAGAACTGTACTAATGTTCATTTATCACTTACCATGGTAGTATCATCTGTCTGAATCAGATTTATTATGCGATTGACATTTAACAGTCCTCACTTTGTTTTCACAAGTCTCACTTGCATGTCCAGTAATTGTTTTTATCAATAAATAATGTGTGTAAAAACATTAGACTGATGCCATGAATGATCTGTTGTGTGAGATGCCAAGAGAGGTAACTCTTGGCATAACTGGAATTTTGTCTTTTATGGACTTCTGTCTAGACAGGTCTTAAATTCCAGTCCTCTTATGTCCTGTTTTGGCAAATTGCATTGTATGATAAAGTACAGATTGTAACCAAAAATACCATGCTGGCTGTCTAGTAATATCGAGCACTCTGTTGTATACAGAACAGGTTAGGTCCAACTATAGCAAAAGCAAATAAGTTATGTTGTTGTTTTGATGACTGAATGTCTATGTTGATGGGCTTCAAATACATTTTGCTAGCTTTGTATAAAGGCAGTTCAGTCTCATGAAGACTTAGAAATGTCACTGGACAAACATTATCATTGAGTTGAATGTTTGAGGGCTGGAGGGTATGGATATAGCAGTCTCATGATATATTGTATCCACCATGGAACAATCCTTTGAATTGCCCTGATTGTAATCTTTGTTTGTCTGCCATATATATATACATTTGGGGTTCGGCAGTGGCGTAAATATTGAAGTCTGAGCTCTTTCGGCTTTCAGCCTGGATGAAGTTGACTTACATGATTGAACTGAAATGTTGTGGAAGGCTGTATAAGTCCACTTAAAGGAGATATATTGAATATAAACTTCTTAACATATGTTAAATGGTCAAAGTATACTTATTTACACATAAGGAAAATTCATAAGTGATTTTATTGCTGTCTGAAAAGCACAAAACAACTGCTCTAATCCCACAACCTGGACATATGCATATCGTAATCCCAGCATCGGCAGAGCTCGGACTGTGACGTCATAGTGGAAAGACATCTGCACTTTTCTTTTGTTTACAGTGCATTCATCCACATAACAATGAAGTGATGTTTCCATTATTTTCGGTGTGTAGTAGACATGAGAGGGGATATTGTTTTTGTGGGGGTGTCCCACACCATCCAAAACAGTACCAACTACAAAGTGTCATTTCTTCAGACTTCCAAGCACAAAACTGATTTAGTGAGGAGGAATTTTAGGATTCAGCTATAAGTTGTGTTCCTTGCATTTAGAGAGATCCAGATAAACTAAAGAAACTTACTTATGAAAATGCAAGTGCAAAACTGAAGAAAGATGTTGTACCAACTAAGTTTGAAAAGAAGACATTTGTTGAATGTGAGGGGCGGTGGGGTAGCCTAGTGGTTAAAGCGCTCTTCGCCACCAAAAACCTGGGTTCGAATCCCCACATGGGTACAATGTGTGAAGCCCATTTCTGGTGTCCCCCGCCGTGATGTTGCTGGAATATTGCTAAAAGCGGCGTAAAACCAAACTCAGTCAGTCAGTCAGTGTTGAATGTGACTTGTCGATGGTAAAGATTCGCTGATTATATTACCATACATGCAGGGTGAACTTCTCAACAATATGTAGGAAGTATTTGGTAAACTACAGTCTGGAGAATCTTATGTACGCCCAGTATCTATTAGCCCTAAAATCAATTCATTTCTCATTTAAACATTGCTATGTGAATGGTACATACTAACAACCATGTACATTGTATACACCTTTGCAAAAAGTCAGCAGATGTAATTAAAATAAAGATGTTAGACCGATAGTAAAAAATATATTGTACAAGTTTTTGCCTCGGAAACTACTTTTTATAGTTAGATGACATAGGGGGAAAAGATGTCAGTTTTATTGGATAAACATTGTTTCATTGGATATATAACACAACTTATATTTGGGATTACACTTTCTCAGTAAAGTACACATTCTAGTAGTTCATGCCTATAATACTTGTTTTCGGTTGAGGTGGGTTAGGCGGCTGACTTTGTGTGCTGGCGATTAGGTGCCTGACTCGGAGGGGGTGGGTTCAAATCCCAGATGGGACTCAACCTGATAAAAGTACTAGAATCTGTACTTTACTGAGAAAGTGTAATCCCAAATATAACGTGTTACATTTTACCACTTTCTATATGGCATTGTGTATTCATGGGATATATGTTTATCTTCAATCTTTATTGATCGTCAAGACATTTGTCTTTATCTGCTTTAGAAATGTATGTCTCATTTAACACACTCTTATTCCGCCTGGTATTCATGGTACATTTTTATGCAGTTTGCTGCGAATTGTTTATTTTCTGTGTTCTCCATTAGCTGTGAGAAATCTTGACAATATGTGATTGATATTTGTGTACAAATGCTTGATCATGAGAAAGGTTAGGTTTATCAGTTGTTTTGCAGCAGCAGTAAACAGGTTTTATATTATCTGTCAAGTGATATGGAGATAGCAGCTTTTATCATGCAAAGGTACAAAAAATCATTGATAGATTGATGTCATTGTGTTGCTTGACGAGAAAACAAAGACTCAGGCCTGTAGGCCATGTTTCATATGACATGTATAAGGTGTCCAAGGCAGGTTTGTTATGATCATTCTTGTTTTTGTTTAGCCATAACATGCAGATTATCTTTAGCTCACCTGACTGAAAGTCAACTAAGATTATGTGATGGCCTGTTTTGTCTGATATTCATTGTGTGTTGTCAGCCATAAACATCCGCCCCTCAGAAACCACTAACTACTAAAGATAAGACTTCACATTAATGTTGATATCCTGGTTTGTTCAAGAAGTGGAAAGTTCCACTATAACCCAAGTGTTTGTAACTATGGTGATATGAGATGAAAAAGAACTACATGGCTATGTAGAGTAGAGTAGTAGCTTGTACCTTTGTAGCTTTGAAACTTTATGCTCATACATTTGTTCTTTTCTTGCATCGTGCTGGTGACTATTGAGGAATATCTATGACATTGCACTTTGATGTCTAGAATTGTATTCCTTAGTCATGACAGGATCCTGTGGTAGATCCTGGGTTAGAATACCTATCAGCCCTGATCATGAACCTGTGAGTCAGCATTGCATCAATACTTGTGGTTATCAGTAAAGTGGAAATTGTGTAATGCTGCGACCATTCAGTCACTGAGACATGCTCTGATTCTAGTTTCTCCTGCGCAGGTCTCCAGCACCTCTCACTGTAATCATCAGGTTGAGTCACTGAGACATGCTCTGATTCTAGTTTCTCCTGCGCAGGTCTCCAGCACCTCTCACTGTAATCATCAGGTTGAGTCACTGAGACATGCTCTGATTCTAGTTTCTCCTGCGCAGGTCTCCAGCACCTCTCACTGTAATCAGGCCTACCAAAGAAAACTTTCCCACTGTGCAGAAAAACGCAGAAAAGCCCACATTAATCGTGGAAATAGCAACATAAACACATTACCTCGCTACTGAAACAGTAAAAACGGCAACGAAAAACTATGAAACTGC